CCTCCCTTGATAGTTTGTGTAGCATCTTCTAATACTATATGAGCCGTTCCTGAGAAAGGAGACTTCCAGCATAAGTCCAGTTTAATCCCTCCAAATTTTGTATCAGAAGTGTGTAGTATCTTTGTTAAGAAGTACTTCCTTCATATTCTAGAAATCAACCAAGAGCAACAGCAGAAACCTATATTATTTGGGAGATTTTCTGTATTCCACTGACTAACAATTCAAAAAGAGATTTTTCAGGCCTGGCATTGTAATTTTTGTTAGACTGTGAATCTCAGAGGGAACATTATAACTACAAGTGATGTAACTTCATTTTTTTAAAAAAAACTATGTATATATATATGTATGTATACATATACACTATATGTAATTTTAGGTAAACATAAAATAGTAAGATCTCTTAAAGCTTTTTCAAACATGCTTAGTGTTATTTATCCTTCCCTATCCCTCTACATTGGTTTCCCCACACACACACCCCAGTCACTTTAGTCTTTTGTTTTTGTAGTTGACTGAAATAAAGCTTTGCCTACCTAAACAGAGCAAGGTAGGTGGAATTTTCCCTAGGTTCCATTGTTAACCATACGCAACAAGGCATTTAGTGCCACCTTGTGATCAAATATGATAATACAAGAGGAAAGGGATCTTCTCAAAGTGCCATTCAAGGAAGCAAAGAGTCCCTCCGATACTAAGTAGAATAGTAGAATAGTATCTCAAATAAAACAAACCTGACTCCCCAGTCCCCCTATTATAACTTTCCCCTTCCATTAGATGAAAGAGATCTAGCTTACAGCAGAAAGCAGGAACAAGTGAAGTCAAAGTTAGCAAACCTGTTGGCAGAAAGAAAGCCCTCCCTGCATCATAGCAAAACGTACAACCTCAGCCCACACACAAACTCAAGTGCGCTACACGAAGGCCCTGATCCCCAGGGCATGGGCCCTGAGCTCTACCCTTTCCCCAGATATAGCCCACTTTCTCCCTTTCTTTCCTTCCTCTGATTTCTTCTGTTTCTGTCACTGTCATCTTATCCTGTCCAATTTCTCCTTCCAAGACACAAGCACCTAAAAATCCTGGTGGGTAGACTCTGACAGGAGAGCATAAGTGAGCCCAGAAAGAGTGTGGGCATCAACTGGCATGAAGGAACTGATCACAAGGAGGAAGATTTGGAATGCTGGGACATCCATAGGAAGATGAACAGAGCAACTATGGAGAGGCAACTATCACTTGTTGCCTCTTGATATTTGTTTCCTCTTTTTCTCAAATAACTGCTTTTAGCTGGAAAATGGTAGAAACCATTTCCTTGTTCCTTCTGGGCAGCCAGGACCCAAGACACTAAGTGACACATAGTGTGTCAAAAAAAAAGGGATGCTTTTTGATATATTAAAGTCAAAACAATGTAATACAAACAAAAATAATCCATCCACATTGCCCTGAGCTTGGACTATAAGCTCAGTTTTACATGTAATCATAAGGAACCATAAGGAATCTGTTCTGTTTCTTCAACACTTCCATTTAAGCACGTGTTATTGAAGTATGTATTATTTTGCTACACTTACATTCTTTTGTTTCTCACTTGCATTATTCTGGGAAGTACATAAGCCTAAAAGTACGTTATCTTTGTTTTTAAATTATTTTCCAAAGGTTAAAGCTGTTGTGAGTGATGGAGACTCTGAAACAATTGTTGCAAAGATGAAATAGCCATGAAAAGAAACAAACAGTGTTGGGAGCTGGCTCCGTGGTGAAGTCATGTACTGCCCATACAGACTGTTCAGTCTCCCCACCCCATATCTGTGTCAGGTGACTCACAGTCATCTGTTACTGTAGCTCTAGAGAGACCCAGCACCTCCGTCCTTTTCAGGCACCTGAACCATGCACACATCTCTAAAAGATACACATATACACACAAAGAAACAAGAAACGATAATTCCTCCTAATTAAACCAACCACTTAATGGGAAATGCTGGTGAATGACAAATATATTCCCAGTCATCTTTTTCTTAGCCACTTTCCATATAGCAGTTAGGAACCTAAATGCTTGTCTTCTTCGGTTCCCTGGCTGATTGCTCCAAGCAAATGCTATATGACATATTTCTGAAGTAGGGCATAAGTAGAGTTAGTAAAAAGTTTGGGAAATTTTTCTTCTCAAACAAAACAAAACAAAAAAGTTAAGCCAACATTGCATCTGTTCCTTCTGCTAGCTTTAGACACAGACTTGATATCATGGATCAAGACTTAACAAACAAGGAAACAAACACTTCAAAAGGCATGCTAGCCTGATTGAGCCTTGCTCCAGCACAAAGAATGTCTTATTATGAGGCTTTTAAAAAAAAAAAGTATTGGCTAAGTTCTCTCACAGCCTGATGACATGTTCAATATAATCGACAATACAATGACAAACTGAAATTCAGAACAACCTATTAGTTGTTTGCTCATTCAAAAGTCTGAAGTCTAGAGTGGTTCCATGCACCATGTGCTCAGGTTCCCCAAGCCAGCCTTGGCTTATAAATACCTTTCATCAGTCGCTTTTCTGCTGCTGTGATGAAATGCCTTGCCAAAGGCAATGTAAGGAAGAAAGAACTGCCTCAGAGCATGGGGAAATAAGGGTCTATAAGGGCTGGACCAGTGTGACCACAGGTGACAGAAGCAGGAAGTGGAGAGAACACATCATCTACAGCCACAGGTAACAAAGCAAAGGCAGCAAACTGGAAAGAGGATGTGAGTGGGAACTCTCAAAGCTGACTCCAAGTGGCTCACATCCTCCAGCGAGGCTGAATCACCTCCCAAAACAACACCACTGGCTGGGAATCAAACATTCAAATGCCTGAGCTTAGCAGGCCCAGGGTCTCATTTAAACACCGCATATCCCTAGCTCACCAGCAGCATGCAGGCTGGCTTGCAAGCACTGATTAGTCAGGCACAGGGGCGAGGTCATTCTGGTTTTTGGTAAGAGTATCAAGGAAATTTCACTCAAATCAGTGGGATGAGAGGTCTGAGCTGGATGAAACATGGTTTAGAAAGAGGGAGGACATGTGACTTCTATATACTTTCTGTAATAGATACAAACTGTATTCTCTCTGTGGAGTAACTATTAACAAGATGGATTTGAAGCTTCTATAGAGCAAAGAAAACAGCCAACTAGGTTACAAGGAAGTAGGAGAGAATTTGACACCCATATATCTGACAGAGGATTGATATCCAGAATGTATATTCCCTAGTTACTAGGGAAATGCAAATTACAACAGTTGTGAGATATTATCTCACCCCAGTCAGGTTGACTAAGATCAAGAAAACAATTGGCAGGGCTAGCGAGACGGCTCAGAGATTATGAGCACTGACTGTTCTTCCAGAAGAACTGGGCTCAAGTCCCAGCAACCACATGGTAGCTCACAACTGCCTGTAATTCCAGTTCTGTGGGCACCCAACACCCATGGTAAAACAATGCACATAAAATAAAAATAAATAAATTTACAAAAAAGGAAACAAATGACAACAAAAGCTGGCAAGGATGTACAGAAAGAGAGACCGTCATAGAGACTCTCTGGAAGTCACTATGGAGAATTCTCAAAAAGCTAAAAACTGATCTACCGTGTGACCCAGAACTGCCACCCTTTGGCATATATATGCCCAAAGGACTCAGCATCCTGCTCCACCGATACCTGAGTAGCAATGAATGTTGCTGTGCTATTAACAGTAGTTAGGGACTAGAAACAACATAAATGTCCTTCAGCTGACAACGAATAGTAAGAATGTGCTATATATACACCATGGGATACTATTCAGCTGTAAAGAAAAATTAAATCATGAAATTTTCAGGTTAATAGATGGAATTAGGAAATAATCTACTGAGGTCACCCAGACCCAGAAAGACAAGCAGCTCATGTTCCCTCTCATATGCAGTTCCTTCCTAGCTCCAACTCTTCAGACAGGGGTATACGACCCGGAGCAAACACAGAAATCAGGAAAGTAAAATGGACCATGGAGGAGAGGGGATGCTCTAAAGGGGGAATAACAGGATATGGGTGATATGAAGGGGGAATTAGGGAAAACATTTTCTCTCATTGGGGGCAGAGAACATTACAAAGAAAAGAGAAATGAGAAACAATAAGGATGTTTCAAAAGACATAAGGAATTATTATTTATATATATAAATATATATTTATAAATATATAATAAAATATATATTTATATATTTACATAAATATACAAATATGTATAAATATATTTTTTATATATATAAATATTTTTATATATAATAAAATATATATATTTATATATAAATATAAATATATATATTTTATATTTACCTAAAATAGCATATACTACATATGTATGTGTGTGTCTGTCTCTCTCTTCTGTCTCTGTGTGTGTGTGTGTGTGTGTGTATGAATTACACCGCTTGGGATGATAATACCCCCCCCAAAATCTCAGCAAAGTCTCATGAAAATTCTCCTTTTGGATTGTCGGGCAGGGGAGTCTAAAGAGTCCCCCAAACAATATGCCTACTGCTATTGCCCTAAATGTATTCTATAAATTGAAGGGTAAATTCCTATTGCTAAAGAGATCACACTCTTTGGACATAGGATTCAGAGGATTTGAATTAGGACTCTGTTGTGGAATATTTGCTTACACTGTGAAGATATGTCTTTGCCAAGGTGTCTTCTGATTGGTTTAATAAAGAGCTGAATGTCCATTAGCTAGGCAGGAAGAGGTTAGGTGGCACTTCTGGAGACAAGAGAGGACTCTGGAAAGAAGAAAAGTGGAATCACCAGCCAGACATGCAGAGGAGACAGATGGTGTAAGATGGAAGAGAAGTAATTCCACATGGTAGAACATAGATTTAAAAAAGTATGGGCTAATTTAAGTTGTAAGAACTAGTTGAAATAAGTCTAAGCTAATGGCCCAATTTTCATAATTAATAAAAATTTCCATCATTTTTTTGTGGGCTTGTGGTAGTCCAACAGGAAAGCATGCTACAGGACTGACCCGAAAGCTTTCTCCCTAAGGACTATGCTGCTAAGGGAGGAAAGCAATCGCAAATCATATCCAGCTGTGACGCCTATGAATAAGCCACCAGGACAATGACCAGCATGACAAGCTATCCATAAAGGTGCAATAGTGGTACTTACATCTTGTTGCTAACCAATAGTTGTCTAATTATACCCACTAAACAGGAGGGAAATCATGCCTGATATGGTGAACCTTGCCCAACTACACCAGCGAGACCACTTGGTAACCACATTGTAATTCCTTATCTTTTCCCCACAGATCAAAGGAACTCCTGTTATGAAGCAGGAGACTGTCTACAGAAAGTCACAGCTCCTCAAAACGCAAAGGAAAACAAACCACAGGGAGCCCAGCATGAATCCATACACCTGCAGCTGCCCCTGAGACTCAGGGAGCATCATGGAAGAGGGATAAAAAGATTTAAGAGCCAGAGGAAGTCTGTTGTGAGGTTGTGTCTTGTAGCTATGATAGCGAAGCTATACCCACAAAATCTCAATAACATGGCTGTCTAGACAAGACCTGAACAATTCCAACAGTAGTTGGCATTCCAACACAGGTGGGGAAATTTCATGCAGCCTCCCACCAGATGAAAAGCTACAAGTAATCGACAACTGCTAAGGTAGTGAATAACTCACTCTTCCCTAAGGATGAGTATTCTGATTGGTTATCCAATACCAAGTGGTCAGCCCAAGAAACAATACAGGTAATCCTGAATGGACTCAGCAGGTTGAATTTTTATTCATTTATATTTATGTGTAGCAATAATGGTTAAAGAAGAGGAGGATATGAATTTATAAAATGTGAAGAACAACTGAGGCTGGTTATAAGTTCACATGATAGGATATAAAATACAGATAACAGACTTTCTGTAGGAACTGAAGACATTAGAAAATTCTCTACAAATGTGACACACTCAAAAACAGAGCTTAATTACTGCAGTTTATGAATAAGATGGCTTCAAAGGAAAATAAAAAGAATAAGGTGCAGTGTTTCGTTATTATATCTTAATGTTTGATGAACACTTTTAGATTAAATTAGGCATCTTAAAGATATAATATCTGAAACATAAACAGAAATTAAATTAAGTCAATCATCACTCAGATTTGCTTATGTTTTTCCCCTTTTATTGAAACTATATTCTTTTTTATACAATATATCCGGATTATAGTTTCCCCTGCCTCTAATCTTCCCAGTTCCTTCCCATTGCCTCTCCCCTCCAGATCCATTTTTTTCTCTCTCTCATTAGAAAAAAAAACATGCCTCTAAGAGATAATACCCAAATGTGATGAAATAAAATATAGTAAGATGAAGCAAAAGTTATCATGTGAAAGTTAGACACAGCAACCCAATAGAAGGAAAGGAGTCTCTAGAGCAGGCACAAGAGTCAAAGAACCACCTGAGAGGTAGTGGCACATACTTTTAATCCCAACACTTGGGAGGCAGAGGCAAGCAGACTTCTGTAAGTTCAAGGCCAGCCTGGTCTACCAGCCAGGACAGCCAGAGCTACATAGAGAAACCTTGTCTCCAAAAGCAAACAGAAAAAGAAGAAGAAGGAGGAGGAGGAGGAGGAGGAGGAGGGGGGGAGGGGGAGGAGGAGGAGGAGGAGGGGAGGAGGAGGAGGAGGAGGAGGAGGAGAAGGAAGAGAAGGAGGAGAAGGAAGAGTCCTGACTTCCTTGCTCATATTCTCCCTCCTTCTGCTCTTCAACTGGACCTTGGGAGCTCAGTCCAGTGCTCTGATGTGGGTCTCTTTTTCTGTATAACCTATGCTGTAGAGGATGTGGAGTAAGGGGAACACTCATCCATTCCTGGTGGGAATACAGACTTGTGCAACCACTTTGGAAATCAGTGTGGTGGTTTCTCAGGAAATTGGGAGTCAGCCTATCTCAGGATCCAGCAATACCACTCTTGGGAATATACCCAAGAGATGCCCAATCATACTACAAAAGCATTTTTCAACTATGTTCATAGCAGCATTATCTGTAATACCCAGAACCTGGAAGCAACCTAGATGCCCCTCAATGGAAGAATGGATAAAGAAAGTGTGGCATATCTACACATTAGAGTACTATTCAGTGGTAAAAAAAATGACATCTTGAATTTTGCATGCAAATGAATGGAAATAGAAAACACTATCCTGAGTGAGATAACTCAGACCCAAAAAGATGAATATGGTATGTACTCACTCATTAGTGAATTCTAGCCATAAACAAAGGACATTGAACCTATAGTGATCCAAGAAAATCTAAGTAATAAGGTGAATCCAAAGAAAAACATATATAGATCCTCTTGGAAATTGGAAGCAGACAAAATTGCCAGGTAAAAGTTGGGAGAATGGGGGTGGGGTGGGAAGCGTGAAGGGGAAAGGGGAGGGGAGAAGGGGAGGGTTGGGGAGAGCTTGGGAGAGTGGGATGGTTGAGATAGAGGAAGAGTGGATATGGGAGCAGGGAAGAAGATATCTTAATTAAGGGAACCATTTTGGGGTTGGCAAAAGGTTTGGCTCTAGAGGGGTTCCCAGGTGTCCACAGGGATGTCCCCAGCTAGGACCCTGGGCAGGGGAGGAGAGGGTGCCTGAACTGGTTTTGTGCAGTAGTCAGACCAATGACTGTCTTGCATATCACCATAGAACCTTTGTCTAGCGACAGATGGATCCTTTTTTTGTAGACTCTCTTTCCAGATAATATATGGTTGACCTGGAACTCATTCTGTAGACCAGACTGTGGGTCTCTGCATATGTTTCCATCAGCTTTTGAGGGAAGCCTATTTGATGATGAATGAATGTGACATTGATCTATGAGTATAGCAGAATACCATTAGGAATAATTTTATTGATACCTTTCTCGTTAGACCAATAGTGTTTGGTTTTGCCCTATGCCTCTAGACTATCTTGTATCTGGTTCTTGGTTACTCAAGCAGTGTCAGGTATGGCTCTTTATTATGGAGTAGACCTTAGATCAAGTCAGACATTGGTTGGCTACTCCCACAGGTTCTATGGTGCCATTGCCCTAGCATATTTTGCAAGCAGGACAGATTGTAGGCCAAAGGTTTTATTGCTAGATTGGCTTCTCATTTGGTAGCCTGAAGTGTACCTTCCTTCACCAAAGACACTAGAATGCAGGGATGAAGGCTCCAAGTAGGCACTGATACCACTTCTCCATGTTTAATGAGTTGTGTGGATTTTGTTCTTGGCAATAGGGCCATGTTGTCAGCTTGATTAATGTAATCCTTTGTCTTAGCAACAGTCTGGGTTGTTTGGGGATTTCCATGTTACTCCATTGTGCAAAAGCTCAATTGAAATGCAACCCAGTCCAATTTAGTAGAAATTTGAAATAAAGCATGTCCTTGTGGTTCTCTAGATTTCCTCCATGTCTGTTATTATGTGTAGGGCCATACATCATACATATCTCTACATTGAATGGCAGTCAGACTTCCAGACAATAGTTTGCACCTGGCCTCACAGAAGGCTGTCAGTCCCTAGCCTTTACAGACACACTGTTGCCATCCCTAGCAAAGGATCAGAATATGCTAATGTTGTTCTGCTCCTTCTTTGGAGGTCACCTGGGATAGAGAAGTTAATTCGGCCTATGTGACAGAGCTGGCATACAGAGCAGGAAGATAGGAAAACATGACAAAATGGGCATAGAAAAGTATGGGCATGACCAGAGTCATTCTCTCAGTTACCTAGGAAACAGAACGCTAATGAATTTCCCCCTCCATTTGGTATAAAAGCTGTTTGGAGGATAAACACAGGTGAATTTTCAGGATGTGAACTCAGGATTGCATGAAGGATCACTGAAAAACTCCCTCCCAATAAAGCCATGTGAGTTGTGTCTTTCTTCCCACACCTCCCCTCTGGTTCAGAGAAATAATTCATGGTCCAGGATGGCATGACAATTATGTCCTCCTTTTTGTTTTTTATTATGTTAATTTGGATAATTTCTTTCTACCTTTTAGATAGTTTAGATAAGAGTTTGTCTACTTTGTTGTTTTTCTCAAAGAACCACCTCTTTGTTTCTATTTATTGATTTCATCCCTATTTTGATTGTTTCTTGTGATTGCTTCTTTTTGTTCTACAGTTCTTGTGTGTGACGTTAAGTTATTAGTATGAGATCTCTCCAACTTTTCTGTGTAGGCACTTAGTGCTATGAAATTTCCTCTTAGACACCTCATCGTGCCTTACAAGCTTGTATATGCTGTGCACTGATTTTCATTGAATTCTAGAAAGTCTTTAATTTTTTTCTTTATTTCTGTCTTGAACAATTTTTCATCCAGAGGAGAGTCTTTCAGTTTTCATGAGTTTGTAAACTTTCTGTTGTTTCTGCTGATGTTGATATCCAGCTTTAATCTATGATGGTCTGACAAGATTCAGGGAATTATTTCAATTTTCTTGTATCTGTTGAGACTGATTTTATGACAAAGTATGCTATCAGTTTTGGAGAAAGTTCTGTGAGGTGCTGAGAAGAAGGTATATTCCTTTTAATTTAGGTGAAATGTTCTGTAAATATCTGTTAGCTCCATTTGGTTTGTAATGTCTGGTAGTTCCAGCATTTCTCTTTATAGTTTTTGTCTCAATGATCTGTTCATTGGTGAGAGTTGGGTATTGAAATCTCCCACTATCAGTGTTTGAGGGTCAATATATGATTTAAGCTGTAGTAGTATTTCTTTTACAAAAGTGGGTGCCTTTGTGTTTGAGGCATAAATGATAAAAATTGAAAATTCCTCTTTGTGGATTTTTCCCTTGGTGAGCATATAGTGTCTTTCCCTATCTCTTTTGATTGGTTTTTGTTTGAAGTCTATTTTGTTAAATAGTAAAACTACTACACCAGTTTTCTTCTTGGGTCCATTTGTTTAGAATATATTTTTCAAAGCCTTTACCCTGAAGTAATGACTAACCCTGATATTGATGTGTGTTTCTTAAATGCAGAAGAAAGATAAATCACTGTGGGATAATGTTCTTGTACACTGTAAAGATGTGTCACTCATATTGGTTTAATAAAATGTTGATTAGCTAGTCAACAGGCAGGAAGTATAGGTGGAGCAACCAGACTAGGAGAATTCTGGGAAGAGGAAAGGCAGAGAGTCTGTCACCAGTCAGACACAGAAGAAGCAAGATGAGAATGGTACCAAGAAAGGGTACCAAGTCATATGACTAAACATAGACAAAAATTATGAGCGAGTTTAAGTCAGAAGAGCTGTTAGTAATAAACCTGAGCAATAATTCCTAACAGTTTGTAATTAATATAAGCCCCTGTGTGTTTATTTAGAGCTGAATAGCTGCTGGACTTTGTGGGACAGAAGCTTCTGTCTATAATAGATCCTGTTTTCTTATCAGTTCTGTTAGTCTGTATCTCTTTCTTGAGGAATTGAGACCATTAATGTTGAGAGATATCAATGACCAATCATTGTTGGTTCCTATTTTCTTGTTTTTGTTGTTGTTGTTGTTGGTGGTGGTGGTGGCAGTAGGGTGTGTGTGTTGTGTTGTACTGTATTTCTCTTCTTTTGATTTTGCTGCTGTGATATCATTTTTTATTTTCTGAGATTTCATGGGCATAGCTAACCTCTATAGGTTGGTGTTTTCCTCCTAGCACCTTCTGTAGATCTGTATTTGTAAATAGATATTGTTTAAATTGACTTTATTATGGAATATCTTCTTTTCTACAACTATGATGATTGAAAGTTTTTGAGGGTAAAAGTCTTAGTTAGGGTTTCTATTGCTGCAATGAAACACCATGACTGAAAGCACATTGGGGTGAAAGGGGTTTATTTGGCTTACATTTCCATAGTGTTGTTCAATATTGAAAGGAATCAGCATAGAAACTCAAACTAGGCAGGATCCTGGAGGCAGGAGCTAATGAAGAATTCATGAAGGGATACTGCTTACTGACTTGCTTCACATGAATTTCTCAGCCTGCTATACAGTATGTATACTTCTACTCTTGTTTAGGATATTATAGTTATGCAGGTCTTTTAAAAATGTAACATATAATTGAAAATTCAGTTTAATAGTCATCTATAATAGTCAAATTACAGTCATATTAATTAGGTTTTTTAGAGATATATAAAGATATATTTCAATTAAATGGGTAATCTTCAAACACTTCAAAGACCTATAGAATATGACATTTAAAATATTTGAAGAACTTAGACTTTTCTTGACAGTGAGACACACATCTGCTCCTGGCAAGACGAATTAATTCAAAGAGGATGATGGAGTGAAGAAATTCATTATTGAATTTGCCTTCAATGTGACAAGGCTTGTCATTTTGGCAAGAAACTGCTCTTGCCTGAACTACTTGATAATATGCTGTATAAACTGGACATTCAGGACCCACAAAAAAGTTACTACTAAACTTTGCCCAAACAAGGTGAAATGGTACTTTATGTCCCACATCAAAGAAGAAACTGCCAGACATTCTGCATGACATAGAGGAAAGCAATTGGTAAACTTTGCCAATATAGGTAGGTCAGCCTTTCAAATTTCCTGCTTCATGAAAAAAATCTGCCAGATAATATAGGTCAGTAGACTGAAGTTGGATTCCCCAATGTTACAGAAGAACTTTGGGTGACTGTCAAGGCAGTCAAATGTCTCTGTCATTTCTAGAGTTTTGAAAGTTGCTTGCAATACACTTCCTGTTTACTCAGATAACTCCTTCTGGAGTCTTTGATAGAGTTGGAGACTATATAGTTATAATTATAGTTTTCCTTAGTTATGATAAAAGATAAATTAGATATGAAACTTTAGACTCTCAAAAATAGGATAGATGATAGAGTATTTTCTTTAATTTTGCCAAATACAAATAGACTGGATATTTGTAACTGATTCTTACTTGATAACTGTTTTGTTGTATATAATTTTACTATATGAAAGTTAAAACCTTCTTTTTGGATTAGACAGAAAGGGGTACATGCTATGGGATGATCTTTCTGTGTGCCATGAATATGTGTTGCTCTCATTAATTGATAAATAAAGCTGATTTGACCTACAGACAGGCAGACAATAAGGCTGGCTGGGAAAGCCAAATAGAAACACAGGGAGAAAGATGGTGGAGTCAAGAGACACCAGCAACCACCCAAGGAGCAAGATGCCATAGTAGACAGAGACAGGGGCAGGGAAGACTGCCACCGGTGTTCTGCTAAGAACTTGGTTAGATATTGGAAAACATAGCCCTGCTCATTTTCTACGTAAAGGGAAATCCAGAGAGCTTATAAACTCACCTGTGGTGACTCAACAAAACAAGCATAGAGCCCAGACTGACTCTGGCCATCTAACCGAGTCAGGCCTTGGCTATAAGTGATGCAAGTCCTTGGTTTTGGTCTTAAGGTTCAGAGACCCTTCCCAACCCCATGAGGCTGAGCAATTCTTTATCATGTGATTCTGAGATTTGCTGAGTCCTTTCCTGCAGTCTTGCATGGCTAACTCAGATCCATAGCTTGTGTTTCTAAGTATAGAAATGTGCTAGTCTGTCTTTGGCTCAAGTTATGCTGAGAGTGGTTAGTCTCTAGCCAGCAAGTAGCACTGGGTATTCCTTGAAGTCTTCCCAGCAAGGGGTCACATGACCTCCATTGGACAGCTAAAAAGGTCAAAAATGTCTCAAACTCAGCATGACCCCAAGGTGATGCCAATGACTCACCCACCTTTTAGTGATGACTGATATTTGTGAGCCTGATAGAATAGGGGTATGCTCTACTTGTTAGAGCACACTTCACTAATGATACCTGATACCCACCTCTGGACAGATAGGAGAGGATGAGTGCAAGAATTCTTTGGTTCTAAAGGAATACCTTTCTATGCCATGGGGAAGACTGGCTTAACATCCCAACAGGTCTGCATACAAAGGCCCCTTCTGCTACTGTACAGTCAGGCAACCAGTTCCAGTGTACTTTGAACCTAAGTGGTCTCACTGGTGAATTGCTTTCTTCCAGGAAAAGCAGATCAGAACCACTAAGGACCCACCAAGGCACGGATGCCTGCCGCACATCTGCTCTGCCCTGCTGCAATCTCAGCTTCCCTCTTGTTTTCTCCGATATTTGTCATTTATGGATCAGAGAGAAACCCATCTTTCTGATTTACATGAGATAAAGAGAAGAAATAATCCCATTTCATCCCCAATTCTGAACTGGGAAACTTACAAATGAACTGGATGGGGGAAAGTTTCTCTTTTCTGTCCCTAGTAAGTATTTGTCTTGTACCCAAGACCCACAATTCCAGAAGTGAAGACAGGAGGAAAGACCACATGAAGTCTCCAGCCTCCACATGATGGAAGTGCACAGCATGTCCCATGTCCAGGTAAGGGAAGTAAGCAGCAGTTAGGTGTCAAAGCAAAAGCTATAGCTGTCACCATAAAGGTATTAAAAGACATCTTATTCTGGAGCCATTTTGAGTGACCATAGCCTTGGAACATAGGTTTAAGTTATCCCAAATTCCATATTCCAACTGTGGAAGCAATTTCACAAAGTTGATATTTTTACACAACACAGTCATAAATCAAGACACACTTAAAATACATTGATGGGTACATCAGAGAGGTGGTTACAGAAAGATGGGGGAAGCTTTTTAATAGGCTTAAGATGCTACCTTATGACATTCTTAGTGTTTGGATTGGTGGGAGCTAGTGGTCTGCTAAATTAATAGATTTCAAAAGGTTTTTATCTGTTTGTCATGGGATGTTAGTTCTGTTGCAGGGGTAGGTAACAAATGGCTGTTGGAAGATGGTAGAACTAAACCTAGATTAGGTACGTAGGCACATTCAGATCTCTCCACGGTACTGCTGTTCTAATCAATAGGTCTCTGCAGGCACAGCTTCTTCTCAGTTCTTGTTTGCATAGGTGTTGCCCCCTTCCCACTCTAGACAGTATGGCTACGTAGACTCCAGGCAGGATGATCACTGATGACTGAAGCTGCCTTAAACAGAAGCCATAAACACAATGAATCATCTCTATCTGAACAGAGAGTTATTGCAAACAGTAAAAAATAAAGACCAGGACAGGGAGATTCTGGGTCTCAGTCTCTTACTGTTCTGAAATATCTATAACACTGTTAATTAAAGGACATAAGTTTTGGGGAGCTAGCTAAGAGGAGTGGTGGCCCAGATGAGGCTGATCCAGTAATAGTACTACCTTGTCCATAACTGTGTAAGGATTTGCCAGGTGGCCTATTTAGGTTAGTTGGGCACCAAATGAAGCACAATTAATAAAAGCTCAGGGTCAGAGATTGGGGTTTGAGCAAAACAGCCAGCCATTGGCTCTTACCTCAACCTCAGTCTGAAATGGCGATCCTACCTCCCAAAATCTCAGAATGAGACTATGTCTGAGAGCTGTCTCCCTCCTGTTAAATTCTTCTCTAGGGATGGAATTAAAGGCATGAACCACCCGATTTCTATGGCAACTAGTGTGACTACTGCGGATAAAGGTGCATGTCATTGTGGTTACTGGGATTAAAAGTGTGTATTACCATAACCTGGTCTGTAAGGCTGACCAGTGGGATTGTTTTCATCTCAGATATTCAGGCAGTCTTTATTTATTAAAATACAATTGAAATGCACTACAACAGTGTATTGCCAATAATGAACTGGGATGTTCGCACTCAGCCACTGTTTCACACACCTCTATGTTGTTAATTCAACACCAGCTATGACCAGACACAAATACTGTGCTTTACATACTGATTTGATTAGCTATATATTAACAATAATGTACCCGATATTCAAATGAACCTCATTCAGCTAGCTAACCCTGCCCTCTTTGGCCAAATTAGACTACACTGACTGAACTGCCAAGGAAAGAAAGAAGTGCACATTTGTGGACAGTAAGTGGGTAGCTAATTATGAAGCCACCTCAGGGGCATACTGGCTTTCACTTCTCCATTTATTGTTCATGTCAAGAATAATGAAAATGTATTTCCTTCCTTTACTGTGTCCTATGTGGCAGCTATGTTTAACCTGTCCCCTGACAGACAACATATACCTGTTCATACATTAACAGTGAGTAAAAGGCACATGGAAAGCAGGTAGAGAATTTTGAAGAAATTTTAAATATTTCTAAAATTAAAAATGCTAAAAGATTAAAAGTTCAGCTTTCTACTAGTTAATATGATTAAATAATTAAAATAAGAATAGAACACAGGTTGAGAACTGAAGATATAACTCTACCATTATTTGACTCCCAATACAACATTAATACACACACACACACACACACACACACCTACACAAACACAAGCTAAACATCTCTAGTTAAAAAAATTCTAACTCCAAATTATTTTGAGCATTGACATGGCATCACAAATGGAAAATTACACCATGAAACTTTGTTTCACACACCAAATTATTCAAAACATACAATAGATTCTCTGTCCTACACCCGACATATCTCATTATGGGTATATAAATATTTCAAGATCTAAAAAATGCAAAGCTTGAAGCACTTCTAATTCTAAGAGTTTCAGACAAGGACCATTCAATTTATATTTCATTTCATCGATAAAATAATTTAAATCCTAATGCACAACACTGAGAGTGTGTCAGAAGCTAGTATTTTTGTATACCCTCCAGAAGTACGGAACATAATTAATAAAATTGTTCCTAGTTTTGATAGGGTACTTCTGTAGTCGATTCAATAGCAAACACTTTCTGTACATTATCTTGATCCTTAAAACAACTCTAAGGATGATATTAAATTACCTTGAATTAGTTTGTCCCAGATTGTCTTACTTAGTGTTTCTATTACTGTGAAGAGACACCATGACCACATCAACTCTTATAAATGAAAACATTTCATTGAGGTGGCAGCTTTCAGGTTCAGAAGTTTAGTCCTTTATCATCATGGTGGGAATATAGCAGAGTACAGGCTGACTTGGTGCTAGAGAAGGAGCTGCCATATGTTTATATGCATACAACAGGAAATAGACTGTCTTGCTGGGTGTGGCTTGAGCATATATGAGACCACAAAGCTCACCTTCACCGTGACACACTTTCTCTAACAAGACCACACCTACTCCAGCAAGGCTGCAACTCCTAATAGTGCCTCTCCCTCTGGGGGTCATTTTCTTTCAAAGCACCAAGGACTTGAACCTAGCTTTTTCTGAACTCCAAAGTCCAGTACCTTAGCCACTGTGACATGCCACTTTACATAGCCACTAAGAGCTTTCTATATCATAGAAAAACTTCAAGTCCTGACTGATTTTATGGCAACTTGACACAAGCTGAGTCATTCAGGAAGAGAGACTGTCAATTGAGAAAAATCCCTTTACAAGATAAGCATGTAAGTAAGTCTGTATGACATTTTCTGAATTAATAATTATGTTGGAGGGCCCAAACCACTGAGGGTGATGTTACTCCTGGATTGTTACAGAATAATCCTTCTGTACACAGTGAGTATATATTGCTCTCACTGGATAATAAAAAGCTGACAGGCCAGTAGTCAGGCAGGAAATATAGGTGGGACAGCCAGACACAGAGGACTCTGGGAAGAAGAAGGACAGAATCAGGATGATGTCAGCAAGCCACAAGGAAATAGGATGTGTAGAAAATGAGGTTAAGCCATGAATCATGTGGCAGAGAGTGAATAAGAAATATGAGTTAGCCAAGCAGGGGTAGCAGGCAGATCTCTCTAAGTTCAAGGCCAGCCTGATCTACAAGAGCTAGTTCCAGGACAGGGTCCAAAGCTACAGAGAAACCCTGTCTTGAAAAGAAAGGAAATATGGGTTAATTTAAGTGTAAAAGTTAGCTAGTAACAAGCCTAAGCTATCAGCCGAGCATTTATAGGTAATACTAAGCTTCTGTGTCTGTTATTTGGGACTGGAGTCCAGGATTGGGAGAGAAACATCTGACTACACTGGACTGTATAAGGAAGCAGTCTGAGCAAACCCTGGAGAGCAAGCCAGCCAGCAACACTCCTCAATGGCCTCTGCATCACTTTCCTATCTCAATGTTCCTACCTTGAGTTCCTACCCTGACTACTTTCAGTGATGGACTGTGATGTGGAAGTGGACGCGAAATAAACTTCCTCCTGGCCCATGCTCTCTATCACAGCAATGGAAACCCTAAAACAATATGCCATGACATTTCAACAGCATGGCTGTCTCAGCAAGACATGAACAATTCCAGCAACAGTTAACACCCCAACACAAAAAGGGGAAATCTCGCTGGGGCCCACTTCAGATGGAAAGTTATAAGAACTAAACAACTGCTGAGAGAGGGAGAATTAGTATTCCCCAGGGATAAAGCCCTTGATTTGCTATCTCATACACATACAGGCAATCCTGAATGAACTCAGCAGATTGTATTTTTATTCATTTATATTTATATGTAACAACAATAGTTAAAGAAGAGGAGGCCATGATGGTGGGAGGGAGGGGGATACAGACATAGGAAATGTAGAAAGAATGAGGAGATACGTAATTAAATAAACTTTTAAAAGTGAAAAATTCCTGTCTTTTAATTATATGTTTCATATGAAAAAGTAAATATTATACAGGAACATAATATAATAAAAATTTTATATGCAACAAATTAAACAGTAATGTTACTTAGAACCGTAAATAGAAGTAATCATATATAATTACAGGGTCCATGTCCATATCAATGACTTAGGGTTCAATGCCAAAGACAAAATTTACCATAGCCAGGATAAAAAAGAAAACATTCATGTATGTGAAGGGGCATATGAGAACATCATACATCTGCATTAAAGTAATGGAAACAGGATTGGCTGTTGTGGAATAGTATTTTAACTAGCCAAAGACGTGGTCCATTTGTTTATGCTGCAGAGAATGACTATAATGGTGTAAAGGAGTGTTACTTTTGTTTATGCTGCATTTGTTTAATTATGAAAAGATGTGCTGTTTTGTCTTGCCTGTCTAAGACACCTAATAAAAGAACTAATAAAGAACTAAATAGCCTAATATAATTAAAGAACTAATGGTCTAATAAAGAACTGAATAGCCAATTGCTAGGCAGAGAAAGGATAGGTGGGGTTAGCAGACAGAAAGAACAAATAGGAGGAGAAACTTAGAGAAGAAAAAGAAAAAAGAGGAGGAGGAAGGAAAGGAGATGTCCTAGGCAAGAACCCGAGCAGACACAAGCCATTCAGACATAGAGAAGCAGTGAAAGTGAGATATACAAAAGTAAGGAAGGTAATAAACCCTGAGGCAAAAGGTAGATAGAGAGAAATAGGTTAATTTTAGTTAAAAACAGCTAGCCAGAAATGTGCCTAAACTAGGTCAAGCATTCAAACTCATAATAAGTCTTTGTGTCACGATTTGAGAACTGGTTGGCAACCCAAAAGAAAAAGCCTGGTCCACTGGGGAGATTGCTCAGCTCAGTGGGTAAAGTGTTTGCCACACTCAGATCTCCAACATCCATGTAAAAGCTCAGTATGGTGGCCATGTGCCTATAACCCCAGGAAAGATTGGACAATATCTTGGGTTCACTGGGCAGCCAGTCTAGGCAAAACTGAATTTTGGGTTCAGTGAGGGACATGCATTAATAAATAAGGTGAGATGTCTCCGCAGGTAAAGGCACTGTTCATAACTTGACAATCTAAGCTTAGTACCTGGATCCCACCGGGTGGAAGGAGAGAACCAACTCCCGAATACACAGTCATACACACTGCACATGCACACACACATATATACAAGTGCATACACATTAATGAAATTTTTGGTAAAAAATCTTAAGATGTTGAAGTAATTAAGAAAGATATCTTGGTATCAACCTCTACTCTCTACACATTCACACATAAGTGAGTGCATCTTTATACATTTTATACACACACACACACACACACAACACATGCTAATAGAAACAAGAAACTCCCTTGGTTTATATAATAAAAAGTGTTCTTTGTAGCCTTTATTTTTATACTAACAAAACTTTGCAGAAAGCAGAATGCACAAACATTAAGTGTGCAATGATTAAATCTGAACAAACATGTAACTGACACAATCATGTTATGCACACATATGAAACACTCCCTTCTTCCCACAAAGTTTTCTTATGATGTTTAGTCCCAAGCTGTATACTTTTGAGCCCTCCATAGATCAACTTCCCTCTCATAAACATACACATGAAATACCCAGGAGCCTCAGCCTCCAGTCCAGAACACAGCACTGCAGAGCACACGGTCTCCCTTCACATTTCCTGCCTTCATGTTTGTCAGGCCCAGAAGAAGACTCCACGTGGATCTTTTAAGATGCATAGAAGGACGAGGCAACTGTTGGAACTCTATGATGATTTACAGGTTGCACCATGACAGACATCAGGAGCTCGTCTGGATTCAGGGAGCAGGGAGGAATTGATGACTGGAAGCACTGTGACAAAGAAAAGGCAAATTAATCAGCTTGTCAAATGCTTCTCACATGCTACAAATCTTATATGTTCTTACATAATTAAATACCATGTCCAGTAA